TTTTTTTTTTTTTTTTTTTTGCTTTTAATCAATATCCTCCATCACTTGATATCCAAGCTTAATAATATGATTTCTTTGATTTCTTGCAAAAATAGTTCCACATACACATTTTTCTAAAGGAGTCTTCTACCTAAAAACATAGCCCATTTATTTGGGACTCAATAATCTCAAGGGCTCAAAACTCCTAATGTCCCTTACAGTGTTAACTCACCATGGTGCTTTTAAAATTTGCACTTGGCAAGTATAAGGATTTAAAACATTTCCTCAAAGGTCAGTATCACACCTGGTATATCGGCCTGTTTGCCTTTAATATCAACCCACATATTATGATAGGAGAAGAGAGAGAAGGTGAAGAAAAATCTTTTCTTATTTTAGTGAAACTTTATGGAGGCATAACAGAGGCCTTATAATCACAAGTATCTTCTCAACAGACATGAACTAAATTCAGTAGTAACTATAAATATCTCAGCTAATTTAAGTCATTTTTTTCTGTATGCAACTATCATTCTGAACACATCTTCACTCCTAATTGCAGAGCAGCATAGTGTTCTGTTAGGGACTGCCCAAACTAATTGACAGAAAATAATGAATTTCTCTCCAAATGAAGCACCAGCAAACCATCTTACCTCTCACTAGTTTTTTGAGGTAAATAGATGAATAAAAGTATTTTTATTTATACAAATTAATGTCCAGCTAAGAAGGGTGCGTGACAAGAATAGTTATGATATGTATAATATAACCTGAACTAACAAGGTATTTGATAGTATATTTCTTAACTTCACATCAATACCAAAATATGGCAAGGCAGCATAATAGTTAATCTCACAGAAGGAAACAGACTTTTAAACCTTAAAAGCAACAGAACCAGAAGTAAACAAACTGATTAGGAATTCAGTCCAAACTATGTGTGTTGCAATTTCTCAAGCTATCAGTGGCAGAAAAGAAAACTAAACAAGCTGAACCAAACATGAAAGTTAGTTAGAAATTCAGTTATTAAATTATGTAAATGTCCAAAATCTCTATTAACTGCAAGCTCAACGTTTGCTTGAGCAATGAATAAATAAAAATATGTGACTCTGTGTGACTGCATAGGCATATTAAAATTAAACATTATTCAATTATACAAAATATATTCAAAATCCATTCCATTAACTTATTTTTTTCAGACAGCTATTTAAATATTATTGGTAGAATTAATTTGAAGAATAGTAGCACTGGCAGTTCAAACCTGAATTTTGATATTACTCTGAAGGATGTTTCAATAGTACCTCTTTGTACTTACGTGCACATCTAAGTAAAATAGGATAACTGAATCTCAGTTGAAATAAACCATTCAGATGCTAAGATAGTTATGCTGGTAACATTACATCTCCGCTTATTTCATCATCTTCAATTATTTGGCTTTTAGTCTGTAAATTCTCTCAGAAAGGGACTGGGTTTCTATTCCTGTAGAGCTGAATTCTCTTACATATAACCATAACAACTGATCCTTTGTATTCGCACATTTTTTCCAAAAAACAAGCACAAGACAACAAAAGTCTGTCTCTAAAGCCTGTAACACAAGGGAAGACAATAAGACCACATGTATTGGGTTGCTTGTACTTATTAAAAACAAGGTGGCTCTGGTGAGATTAGAATGACTCAATGTATCTTGTCAGGGATCAAAATATTAATTCAGAAACCTCAATGGCTGAATATAATATTAATAGACAAGTGTCACTGATGAGAACTAACTCACCTTCCTCACTACAGAGCAACAGCAAGCTATGATCTATGGCAGTAGAAGTTTTCAACTACTATTACAAAAGGCTAAAGACCTACCTAGATCTAATTATCAACACTGGAAGTCACAGGTGAACTGTTTGTACTTCATTCATACGTTTATTTATTATCAAATGAACTTAATTTTTCACTATGTGTAGCAAGAGCTTGAGAGACCACATTTAAAGAACAGCTGTTAATCAGCCACAGAATACTCAAAGACTACTTGCTTTTTTGCTTCATCATCCTGTCTCAATTGGAATGCCAGCACTCAGCTTTCGACTACTTCAGTAAATTCACTAAGTTATTACACTGGAAAACCCCCACATGACACTTTCTACCAGCAGCAATTTAAATCATAAAGTTATTCTAGTAAGCTATTTATAGAATGACTCATATCCATAGTAATTAGCTGTAAATTACTTTCTTGACTTATTTCAAAGTGTCAGAGAGGGAATAAGCTGGAATCACCTTGCTCCAGCGAGCCGRCATGGTCTGCTGCCTGCTTCTGCCTGGCCACGGCTCAGAACAACCTGCCCGGCCTCAAGGGAGGAGGCCGCACGCCGGAGCCAGGTGTTTGACAAAGACATCCCCCAACAGCTGTCACAGACATCCTAAAGTCATGGCCTGATAACAATATTGTATGATCTTAAGCTGTAAATTGGTCTGCAGCTTTAAAGTGTTTTCAAGCATGGGTTTCTTTCCCATGCAATGCATCATTGAGAAAACATAACAAGATATATGGCAGCATAGCCATGAGCTTTTGTTTTCTTAGAAAAAAAAAATCTGATGCACATTGGGGATACCTCTGATGAAAATATGATTGAGGCAACATTGAAAGTTAAAAGGATATTAGAGAAAGAAAAAAAGATATGTAGATTTGGAAAGCACATATGAAGATATACATCATGCAGCACATTTTACGTTATTTGTGAAAAAACAAGTTTTCATAGAGTATACAAGCCAGGTTTCAGAGTATTTCTCACATAATTTTATATGGGAGAAAGCATATGACTTGAGAAATCCAGAAAAAAAGAATTTTAAAGCATAGGAAAACTAAAGTTGAAGGGGGAAAGAATGACTACAATGTAATATGAGTTTTTGTTAATAGTAATACTCATGTTAATATTATAGTGGTATGAAATATGTTTACCCTAAGCTTTCAAATAAAAGGTTCATATATAAAAGAATTTTTTTTTCATTATTTTGATTGTATTGTCTCTATGCAACAGATCGTGCAGAAAGAGTTCTGCAAAATGATCCAAACAAATCACCTTGTAAGTAGTATGGTGCAAGAATCTGAAACATTCTGACTTCAGGTTAGGAGAATTGAAATAAATGATACTCAGTACTAAATCTCATGGTATCAAAGGAACTACTATGGCTTACTGGCTTCCAATAAACTCAGCATCAATAGTTAAGACCACAGTTTTAATTGATACAGATGCTGCACTGAAAACAGCTTAAGAAGTTTGTCTCCTCTCCTTTCTGGTCTATTGACTTAAGTTCATTTTTCCTTTGCTGCCTCAATCCTCTTCTCTGGTTTCTCAGGGTGGTGCTGCAGGCATGACTGATGAGACAGGGCATTGTCAAGCACAGGACTAATCTCGACAAGCAATTTCCACCAAAGCTCCATATCATGAAACCACAGCCTCTCTCAGTCCCACTCTGCTTGCGATGTTAAGTGATAAAGACATCTCAAAGCCACAGCTTGGACGATTAACACTAACTCAACCATTCACTGTAGCTCAAATGATTGCCACTGTAACCAGCAACATAAATAGTTTGCACCTCAAGTTATTAAAAAGAAGTAAAGTTCGAGAACTAGAGAATTCTTTCAAGAAACACAGTCTTTCTGCCAACATTTAAATGGGTTTGTACCACTACTTGAAATGAAAATCAGTAGGTCATCTGATAGAGTGATGTTTAGGTAAAGGAAACAAACACAAGAACTTTGCCTGTGATAATGTTACATCATCACGTCATGTGTAATTCACTAATAAAGATAACAGATTAAGCAAAAACATTTCTTAAGCTTTGTTCCTATTTCCTGCACAAGTACTTGCCTCCTGCTCCTATTTGCTTCCTCCCTCCTCCACCTCGTCTACAATCTAGAAGTCTGTTCTGATAATGTGATTACTGGGCTGTTATTTCTCTCTTCAATTTTGTAATATTGGACTGGTGACACTGAAACGTGCAAARCAAGTTATCATATTAAACTGTTTTATGTCTCTCTAATTTTAAACATTTCTTCCAACCCTGCTAGACTCTATTTTTAGATTCTGGTCTGGAATGTGATTAGCAGTGAATTTGAAAAACCCAGAATTTATGCTACTTACACTACTTAGTCGGGGTGGGGGGAGAGGGGTACATTTGTTCTTGTGAATAACTTTTTTCTCACAATCTCAAAAGTAAGTTGGATTTGCTCCCCTGCTGGTTTTTTGTTTGTTTCCCCCCTCCA